AAAAAATAATCATTTTTCTAATGATTTTTTTCTTGTTTTGAAGGTGGAACTTGTGGAAGGAAGTAGAACTTGACAATGAGAACAGTCAAATGTGTGATAGTCGGAGACGAAGATGTGGACAAGAGAGAGTTGTTCTTACAGTACACTGCCTTGTTAAATGCCGAGGCGGAAACAGCCAGCGCGATTGAAGAAGATGGATCTAACAATGACGTTAGCAGGATGGGTATCTCCTCGGGGGGCAAAGAGCAGCAAGAAGTCTTCGTAGACGGAGATAAAGATGTAGAGGGCGAGGACGGTTCTAGCAAAAGTCATCCGCATTTTCAAGTGATTCACCTCAGCTCCGAGAAAGAGAGTATATCAAGCGTGGAATCTCTTCAAGACTCCATCGACCATTGGTCAGGCGTGGTTACCGTGCTTGGCAAGCATTACCTATTAGATCTTCGCGATGCTCATTGCGAAAACGCCTATGATAATATTAGACCGGATATGTACTCTGACACGGACGTTTTTCTGGTTTGTTTCTCAGTCGTTCGCTCCATTTCGTGGGAGAACGCTCTGAACAAATGGATTCCTGAAATTCAAAAGCACTGCCCTGTGATTCCTTTCATATTAGTCGGCACTCAGACGGAATGGAGAGAACTCTGGGACGAGAGAGACGCGTCAAAGAAACCGGTTTCTCCTGTCACAGGAGCCGGTTATGCGCAGCAGGTAGGAGCAGTGAAGTATTTAGAGTTTTCAACAGGAGATTATGAAGTCAGAGAGGTTTTCAACGCAGCTGTGCTGATCAGTGTTATGGATAAAGTGACGTTGTCTACATTTCATCCAGATTTTGACAAAGAGGGATCGAACTTGATTCATCGCGCTGCAAAACGCAATCATGTTCCTTCCCTGGAAACCGTAGTCGATTTTATCGATGTGAACACCAAAGACAAAGCGTTTCACACTCCGATAGACGTGGCGATAAAAGAAAACAGCTTAGATGCAGTGCGCTTTCTTCTCGAGAGCGGCTGTGAGTTTCCTAACCCACCAGACCCTTGGAGAAAGCGTTGCGAGTTCTGGCTTAGTGACGAGGATGAAGATTCGGAACATGTCGTGAACAGCAATATCACCGAGTTCACCCGACAAGTGACGTTTTTTTACACCACCGCATCGCACCGCCCACTCGCAAAGATCCTTTTCATTGGTCAGAATGGAACGGAAGTGGCAAACTTTGTGAACGAGACCGTACCCATGCTTCCGGTGAGGTCACTGACTATTTTAAATTCAGAAGGTCCATGTCTGTTCGACTTCTCGCAGATCCAGTCTTGCTTCGAGTCTCTAACGATAACAAATAGCGATTTCGGCTCTGCGGAGCTACCAGGGACCCTATACTCAGTAGTGAGTGTGAAAAGCTTGTGTGTTGTCAAATGTGGCGTATCGCGTCTGTCTGAACAACTAGGAGAGCTCAAAAGTCTGCAACGTTTGCGGTTAAGTGGCAACAAGATTAGGAAACTCCCTGACACGATTTCCAGGCTGCAGAAGTTAAAGTTTGTACATTGTGATCGGAATGCACTCGACAACTTGCCAGACACACTTGGATGTTTAGGCTCGCTGGAAAGTCTGGACTTGACCAGTAACAAACTGGAGAAATTGTCTGCGTCGATTGGCCTACTGACCAGGCTGCGAAATCTCGGAATTACAAGAAATCGTCTAAAATTCCCACCGGTTCACATTCTAAACAAAGGAACTGAAAGCATTTTGGAGTTCCTGAGTGGATTCTTGGACGATCCTGTGTCTAACAACCAAATTAAGATGATTGTTGTCGGAGGAAATGGCGTTGGTAAGACTTCACTTGTGAAGGGTCTGAGTCATACCAAAGATTGGCGAATAAGCGGGGTCGGTCCGACCACTACGACTGACGGAATCGAAATATCTTCCATGAATCTTATGGATTGCAGATTAAAAGTGTTTGATTTGGGAGGAGACGAAGCCATGCTCAGCTCGCATCACTTTTTCTTGTCAGAGAACACTCTTTATCAGGTCGTTTTTGACATGAGTGCTTACACGGTCACCAAGACCTCGTGTTCAGTTTACCAGCTCGGAAGAGTGGAACTTTGGCTTCAAATCATCTTCTCGAGAGCTCCAAACTCTCACGTGATGATTGTTGGTACCCACGCCGATGACCCGAAACTCACCGAAGATATCCGAGTACGCATTCGTCAAGACATCGAGAATCTGTTGAGCAAGTATCGTCGCGAGCACAGACGCCAATTTGAGGGAGAAGCTGTGCCTCATTGCGGTCTTTGCGAGGCGACCCTTGTCTGTGAGGGCTCTTCTACTGGCTCCTTATTCTATGTCCAGGAACAAACTGTCCCTCATGTTCCTGGACCTGTTCCAGCTCCGTGTATCCCACATGTTGTGGGTTATTATGAAGTCAGCTGCCATGGCCAGTTTCCCAAACAGCTCCTCAGCTCTAAAAATCGGAGCATGCAGAAGTTCACAGTAGGCGTGGGTTCTAGCGCGTCTATACTCCTCAACACAAAGGTCAGTTCACGAATCCCGCAGAAGTGCTTGTACGTGCGGGACAGAATACAGGAAATGTGCAACGCAGAGAATGAATTGAAGAACTGGCCGCTTCTAACCTACGACAGACTTCGAGAGATCGCGAATGGCTGTGGAGTAAAACAAGACTTCAAACTCAAGGCACTGATGACGTACTTTCATTCTCAAGGAGAAATCCTCTGGTACGAAGATATGCCGGATATTGGCGATGTGATCTTCATCGACCCTCTCTGGCTGTCCAAACAGATGTGTCTCCTCGTCGGGTCACCTTCGGGCGCGAGTTCGGGTTTGGACGGAATATTACGAATCGACAACCTGGCGAAAACCTGGCCTGATGTCCCTGAAGGACAACGCTTTGCGATGTTGACTTTGTTCAGAAATTTAGGATTGTGCTTTCCATTGTCGGAAACTGAGGAACTGGTTCCCTTCCAGTTACCGATCGGGAAAGCAGACGAGGACACGTGGCCGATGAGGCCTTCGGATGGTCAACGCCAGATCAGCTGTGAGTTCCATTTCAGCTTCCTTCCTCCGACCTTTTTCAGCGATTTGACGATTGCCATTAACCGAAGGAAACTGCCGAACAACTTTGAGGTAGAACCCACGTTCTTTCGCTTCCATATGGTGTTCGCAACGACATTGTTGGCCAGCATGGGTTGCTCCCTCCACTGTAAAGAGATGCACCCTTTAGCAGAAAATCTGGAGGTACATCGGGTTAGTGTGGAGGGTGTACCATTCGAGCACAAGTTGAAAGTGATTATACGCGGTCCATCTCCCTGTTGTGTGCTTCCAGATGTGAGAGCTGCGATCAAAACAGTGGTTGATACGCGGTATCCTGGGATACGCTATGTCAGGCAGATCGTTTGCACCGCGTGTGAACTCGCTGGTTTCAAGAATCCTGCGCTGTTGAGCGAACTTGTCAAAGATGGTTGTAACTATTGTTCGTGGGGGCACGATCTCAGTACAGAGGCTGCTGTAATTCGTGGAGACATTCCTCTAGTCTCACTTCCTTCTGAACTACCAGCGAAGGGCGAGGTCAGGCTCGGGGTATTTTTCGACGAGGCAGGCAGGATTCTGGACGACTGCTACTGTCCAAGACTCCCGGCGGTGTTCCCGATAGGCTTTCAAAGCCCGGCCTTCAAGAAGCGGCTTCGGGTCAACTCACCCATAAAAGATGGCTATTCTGTGCATTTCCTGTGCGAATGTCCCGGATACTGGCATTTTACGGAGGGGCCAGGCTTCCGAATCCCAGACATCCGAGCGTTCCTGGACGTTTTTGGAGCACGTGCGTGCAAGCTTTTGAAACTCGCTTTTATGCTACGAGATGACGACGCCCCCGACGGATCTGACCAGGGACATGTTCCGGTCAAGATTATCTTGGGCGAGGCAAAACTACGTCACGTTCTCGTCACGGACATCCAGGACTTGTTAGAGCACTACTTTGTGGAATTTCCCGAACTGAAGAACAGCTACATGGGTTTCATGCAGGAAGACTTAGAATTTGTGCAGAGTTATGAAGGGCTAAGCCGCAGAAAGATGTGCAAACTGTTGGAGATCTCGCCTGATTGGTGGAGACTAGGACCATTGGTCTGTACATACAACAACAGGACCAATGAACATCTCTGGTTGTGTGAGAAGCATGCAGTGTAAAGAAGTGAGCGAAAGGATTTCATAGGAAACATTCAAACTGTTCTTTTTTGGGGAGAATTTGACTGACCTGTTTAAGGTAAATTATCGATCCGGTAAAGTTGGATCTGATTGACATCGACGAGAAAAGTTTTAATTAGTTT